CTGCAAATTTCCAAGCTACAGGGGTAGCACAGAGGCTAGTAGAAGCCAAGACTCCAACCTGCACACCTCAGCTTCTACCGCATTTAACTGACCAAACTCATCACAAGCCTGGCCCAGATCTGCAGCTGCCGCGGGTGGGGGGATCTCAGGAAGCCACGCTGCCAAGGGTGTTGATAAGGTACAGGCCGTGGCCATGTTTGCAGCCCTCCACCACAGCCCAGGCACCGAGGCACATTCCCATGCCCACCCTCTCTTTACAGCGTGCATCCCTAAAGCAGGCTTTCTGTGTCTCCACTTCGGACTGTAGCTCCTGGGAGAGCCATTGTACCTAGCACCGTCCTAAAAACCTCATGCAGCTGGCCCCATCCCCACCACCTCCACCTTGGTTGGAGGTGTTATTTCCTCTTACCGGCCCAGATTCACGGTTGCAGGATTTGTCTCTATGAACCACCATGGTTCCTTCCTGTCTAGTCTCAACTCATCAGCAAAGGAATCTTTTAAAACCACAACTCCAGTTATAGGAACTCCTCACCAATGTCTGTTGGGTTAAAACTGCAGGGCTCCTCATTTCCAGTCATCAAATTTCACACCCTTAAAATAGTCAGGGCCCTTACAAGCCAACACCTACCTGCTCCTCCAGTGCTCTATCCCTCTTCTTCCTCCTCACTGTCATGTAACAAAGTCTGTTCCCGCCCCGCACGGGCCTTTGCACTCTGTTCCCACTGCCTGGAAAGCACTTCCGGGTGCATTTCATTCACTGATTTCCACCTGCTTTGTGCACCACAGCTCCAGTGCCACCGTCCTGAGGAAGCCACTTTCTTTACTTCTCATTATCCTGAACTTGATTCATTTCTTTCAAGTAATTTACCTCAGGTCGAACTTCTGCATTCACTGAGATGCTCAGAGTACCGCTGGGCTTCCCTACCAGACACAAAACTCTGGGAGCACCTGGGTCCTGTCTGTCTGGACTTTGCATGACATTGCCAGGACCTAGCATATCTGGGCTCAGACAGGCGCTCGGGGATACCTAGGGACCCAGAAGGAATCTGAGAGTGTGAACATTGATCTCACTTGTGCATGTGGAGTAGATAGTATTCCTGGGGTTCTGGGGTGCTGCAGGCCCCTTCTAGAGATTCTTTCTAGGTTCTTGGAGTGCTGAACAAAGAACTGGTCAAGACAAATGCAAAAGGTAGCAAGGTTTTACATTTATTAAAGGTAGGAAAAGAAATATGCCCTGCAGGGTCAGTGTGGGCTCTGCGAGGGGAGGGGATCAAGAGCAAGTTCACAGGGGCCACGAGCTGAGTGGCCGCCACCTTTTGTATCAGCCCCTCCTATTGGAAACCTGCTTGAATGTTCTCAAGAAGAACTGAAGATAGCACTTTCTGATTGGCCCCATGTGCAGGGTTTGGAAACTGTTTTGCTGCTCTTGTGTCCTGGATCTCCATGATTGACAGGTCAAGGCCCCTTGCCCTTGCCCAGCCAGCTGGCCATGTCCTAATTTCTTGCCTCAATTGGGGCTCCACTGGGCCCCCCTCCCTGCCCTGGCAAGCCAACAGACGTGTTGAGGGGTGGCTCTTATTTCCCAGCTGCCTTCTGTGAGCACAGGAACAAGGAAGTGCTGGGGAAAGATGGGGGATGAGCAGAAGGAAGACCTGGGATGCCCATGTCCCTTGGGGGTTCAGCCCAGTGCTGTTCCTGGTGCAGCACCTAACAGACCCCAGGGAGTTTACAGCGGCGGGGAGGTCCAAAGCTCCAGCCCAGGAAACAAGAAACAACCCAGGTTTGGCAACAGATGCCTAAGATCAAACCCAACGCCGCTTGTTTACTCAAGACAAGGAACCGCTTTGGGCCCTGCTGCATCCTCTGTAAAGTGGGAAGGAAAATGAATCCACCCCTCAGCTCGTAAAGCTAGAGTGAAGGAGCCCCTGAGAAAGGAGGCTGCTGCCTCCGGGGAGCTCTGGACACCACTCTGCAGCACACGGCCTGCCCTCCACAGCCAAGACAGCCCATGCCTGCAGTCATTGTACCAAAGAAGCAGCTGAGGCTCAGAAGTGCTCCGGAGGAGCTCAAAGTTAGGCTGCCTGCGGGAGGTGGCTCTGGCTTCCAGTGATGCTCTTGTTCCACAGCCACAAAAGGTCTCTCACCAGCCCCAGGTGACATTACCACTGAAAGAGATTTGCCCTAGAATAAGTCACATGATATTATGGCATTGGGAGGCGGGTGCAAGGGATGTTTACCTTGAGGCCACTTCCTCCTTCCCCATGACAACTTCCTTTTTCCTTTCCCAGTGCACGTGAGGAAAATTCCAACCAGCTCCTTGAGCATCATCAATGCCCGCCCTAAGCACCCTCCGACCCACCCCCACCCGTCAGAGGTTATATGTATATTCCATACCCGACCTTCCGGTCAGATGGACCCAGGCCACCTATGGTCACAGACTCCTCTCCACGCCCTTGGAATAAAGGCTACTTTTTTGCTTTGCATTTTTCTCTCTTATCGCACCGAAAACCCTAACAACCACTAAGGTTTCAGCCCCACCTTCCAGGCCCAAATCAGGTCTGGCTTCCTCTTTCCTCCTCTCTGACCTCCTGGCTAACGGGCAAACAGAGCCCCGTGTTGTCCGCTTGCTTCTGCCCTTCCCCTCCACCTGACCCTGAGCTAGCAAGGTCACCTTGCTGAAAACACAAGAATTCCCCTTTTCACCACATGAGTCTACGCACCACGTGAGTGACCACAATGCCGGAATGAGAGGCTCTGCAGGATGGGAACCCCAGGCCTGAGGAATGTGGACCCTCAGGGGTCAGAGCACCAGGGCAGTGGTGGCTGTCACAGAACCGCTGCCACACCAGGTCACCTTGTTTATGCAAAGATCACCTCATTTGAGATCCAAGAGGCTGCCGTTTGCCCTGGGGGCCACGCGGACACACCTGCCTTGTTGACTTCCTTGATGAGATTGAGCTTTTTTTCTTCAGAGGAAAAAAAGCTGGAAAGAATTCTGTAAGACTGTTGCACCTAAAAACATGAGAGGTTTGTTTTTGCTTCTTTTCTTTGTCTGTAACTTTAAACAAGGGTGTCATTCACCCACTCTGAAAGCAGCCTCAGAGTTCTAAACCTTTGGCTGGGTCCACCACCGCGCTCTGAAACCCAAGCTCTCCTTTGAGGTCGGGCGGGTCACACGGCATCTGAGTAGGGCAGCAGAGCCTGGGCGTGGCCTCTGGCCCAGCCAGGATTCTGAAGACTGTTAGCCCTAAACTCAGCCACAGTTGGTAAATGCCAGGGTTGCAGTGTGCCTTTGCCGCCCAGTGTCTTTCTCAGCTTCTCCACACCCAGCCCTGTGGGTCTAACACTCCCTCTCCTGCCTCATGACCTGGAAGGCAGGAGAAATTGGGCTGACCAAGGACTGACCAAGGCCAAGAAAACAGTGACATGCAGACAGTGTGGCTTCTGCAGCCTGTATTCCCCAAGCTAACCAGGATGCTTTATTTTAAGGAAATTAAACATTTCTGTTCCCTTAATATTCACATATTGAATCCCTAACTCCCTCGCTGATGATCCTGTGGGGCATGAGGTTCAGTGGGGCCGTGGAGGTCCAGCCTTCGTGGTGGGATTAGTGCCCTAGGAAAGAGAGACCAAGCCCTCTCAGTCTTTTTTTTTTTTTTTTTTTTTTTTTTATCGGTACCAGGGATCAAACTCACGACTGCCTGCTTGCAAGGCAGGTGCTTATGCCACTGAGCTAAATCCCCAGCCCCCATACCGAGCCCCCTCTTCCCACTGCTGGAGAGCATGGCTAGGGCAGCTTCTGCAAGCCAGGAGGGGCCCATACTAGGACCCAACTTAGCCAGCACCCTGGTCTTGGACACCCCAGCCTTAGGAAAATGAGAGGTCGAGTCTGCTGATCAGACAAAGACCAACTCAAGTTCAGCTTGCTAGTGTGCCTTGACTGTGTCCAGTGTACTGTCTACGTTCACTTCTCCTTGAAACACGATTGATTTTGCCATGAAAACATACCCAAAAAAGAAATCATCCCCAAGGACAGGGAAGTTAAACGGTGTCTCTACAGTTACAAACCAGAAGATCTCATTACTGGTTAACTTTCGTTTCCCCAGACCCTGCTGGAATGGGATGAACAGGACGTGAGGGAACACTGTCTCAGAAACCATAGGTATGGGACAGCCTGGGCCCCTCCTTCAGACTCTAGGAGCCTGCAGGCATCTCACACTTAACTCGGAGACCTTTACTCGCCTGCCTCTGATGCTCCACTGGTATTTCCGGTCAGCCCCAGTGGCTTTCCCGTCAGCCCCCGATGGCCGCCATCCTTCCTCATGGCCGCTCATCCTGCCAGCTTCCTGGGGCTCTTGTTCCTGCAGCCAGCATAGGCCTGTCTGAGCCAGTCTTTCTTGTGTACTGCTATGATGCTATGATGCGGCCTCAAAGCTGGGCAAAAGTATTGTCCTCAAACTATGGAAACCTCCATTCCCCAAAACTGATTTTGAAGGCTGGAGTACGGCCAGTCACTGGGAACAGGAGGGTGAATAAAGGCTAGTTCTAGACTTCATAGACAGCCAGGGATCCAGGCAGAGTGACAGGTTCCCAAGGTGGGGTCTCCCTTGTGGTGGCTTTTTAAAACGCACCCAGTTACTGGTACAGGCAGAAGGTCACCAGAGGAAAGGCAGGCAGAGAGGGAGAGTATTCCAGGGAAGGGGCAAACTCGAAGCACAGGCAACCTCACCCATCCCTGAGGACAGGTCTCCCCCTGTGAGGCTGCAGAGCGGTCCTGCCCTCATGCAGGGCTCACCAGAACAACAGGAATCACAGTCATGCAGGAAGGGTGCACCCCACAGAGCCTTTCTCAGAGTCCAGAGCAGCTGCTCCAGCAGACTTCCCCGCGATGACAGAAATGCCTACATCTGGGAGGAATCTCGAAGTCACTGGGCACTTGAAATGTGACTGGTGCAAGGGAAGCCTGTGAATTTTTAATTTCAGTTCATTTTTGTGAATTTAAGTAGCTACGTGTGACTAGGGGCTGCCATGTCAGACACAGTACAGGACTCAGTGGGTAACATATGAATTCTAATAATAGAAAATGAAACAAGCATGAGTCCTGTCTCTGCTTTAGGTGCAGAACTGAGAGCCACAGCAGTCAAATAATTTGTCCACGTCACGCACGCAATAGGTGTGAAGCCAAGCCACAAATCCCAGCAGTCTGATGCCAGGAAAAAGAAATGGCCCCTTTGGGGTGCATTCATTCTCTGGGTGCCCAGCTAGAATTAACCCCATCCCAGGTTACAGGGATTTGGAGATAAATGGCACAAGGGGCCCCGGGCTCAGGGAGCACTCAGACTGTCAACAAAGAAAGGGAGAAGGAAGGAAGCCTCAGCAAGGAAGAGCCATCGTGGTGCATTTAGCCCGGGGTGGAGAAACCCCTGCGGTGGGCCACGGCAGAGTGCCGGGGCCTGCAGGAGAGCCCTGACCGTGCCCTAGCCCTCCTCTCCAAGTAACCCCATTTTGTCTACATGGAGGAATGTCTGAGAGGGTGAGGAATGGGCAGCCCAGGCAGGAGAATCAGGTCAGGTCCCCACTCTGTCCAGAGGCTCATGGGATACTCAAGAACCTGAACCCTTTCCTAAACCCCTCTTCACCCAAGTGAACATTGGCTGGCCACCCGGAAGTCTGGCTTCCAGAACTCCCACCCAGCTTTTGTAACAGGCCCACAGCACAGCCAGAGGGCTAAGAATGTGGGGACCCCTATTCAACTCTGCTACAGGGCCCAGAGACCTCAGGAAAGGTTTCCTGGTCTTCTTGAGACTCCGAGTCCTCACATAAAAATGAGATAGTATGTGTATCTAGAGTTGTTAGGAGGATTCAGTGTGACACCGCCAGTACTCTGTAGACATTTAACACATTATTAATGGCTATTCTCAGTCAAAGCTGAGCAGTCCTGTGCCCAGTGCTGTGCCCTGAGCACCAAACAAGAAGATAGCCAGAGATGCAGATGTGTGGCCACATGGCAGGCAGCCCAGGGTTTCCCCAGGGTCAGTCAGTCGCTGGTGTCATATTGGAGGGTTCATTCGCATTCCTGCTCTGGGACTCAGTTTCTCCGCCTGTAAAATGGAGTGCAGAGCTGGACACGGCAATCACACATAAACACCCACGGGGATGGGGCTGCAGTAGACAGGATCAAAGCAGAACTGCTGGGGGTGCCTGCCACTGAATTCCTGCTGATGGCTGCTGCCTGGGGCCTCTGGCTTCTATTCCCAGATACCCTGGTGCTTAGCCGAGGTTGGACTTCACTTGAATCTTCCCAGGTACCACAGCCTAGGTCTTTTTTCTGCATCCATGGGCACCTGCAGGCCAGATGACCTCTCAGAGCCCAGCCCCGAGTGGTTCCGCCCCTAGAGCTGCCTGATAGCGCCCTCCACCCCTGCTGCCACCTTAGCCTGCTGCTGAGAAAGCAACATCTTTCAGGTCCCCTTTTCACTTCCTGCTCTGCCAAATGCGTCATATTCCGACAGGGACTCCAAGGGTGGACCAGCGGGGCTAAACCTCCCAGAACTCCTTACCAAGTGCTTTCTGGAAAGTTTTCTTCACAATTCCTGGAGCCCCTGCCCTTCTTGGTTCTCAGTTCCAGCTGGTGTCGGTGACTCCACTGACCTCATCCCCCTTTGTGGCCACAGAAAGGGCTGGTGGAGTCACTGCTTCAGCCCCTCTGCAGGACAGCAGGTGTGGAAACCCAGCTACGGGGAGGCCAGAGTTTATCAGCACCCATTCTTGCCAAGAATTATTCAAATTACCCTGAGGTTTTCATCATCTCTCAGGTGAGAACACTCAGGGCCCCAAGAGCTAAATGTCCCACCTGCAACCACCCGAGTCCCCGGCAGTCTTGTGGATCCCAGCGGCCAGCCCCATCCCATCTGCTCAGCCCTGTGCCCTCGAGGCTTCCCAGCCAGGATGCACTGCAGCGTCTGTGCATGGCCAGTCTAGCCCCAGCCCTTCCCACCAGCATCATATTTCACTCCTCCTGAGGCATGCTGTGTGCCTGCAGGCCTCTGCACCTTCTGTTTCCTTCCTTCCGTTCTCTGCTTGCTGGCACCAAGTGAGCAGAGGGGAGCACCCTGCTGGCGTCTCTCCTGTGAGGCCATCCCATGCTGGGGATGACCTATGTCTATGTGGTTTATGTTTCATCGCTGCATGACTCAGAAAACACACATTACTCGCTGTGTGTGTATGTCTCCCCTGAGACTAGGCACAGCCTGAGGTCAGGGCTGGGCAGCCTTGGCTGGGCAGACTTGGCTGGGCAGATTCACCCAGCCCCATCATACAGGTGGTCAGTGCAAGGTGTTCTCAGTGACCTGCACCAAGCCTGCTCCATCTTGAACTCCTTCAGTCATGTGATCTAACATTGCAGTTAGAAAGTCTGGTGTCACCTTACATGAGTTTGCAACAATTGTCAAAGCCAAGTGCCACAGTCTGGGCAGCCTAAGCAACAGAGACTTGTGCTCCCATGATCCTGGAAGCTGGAAGCTCATGATCAAGGCATCATCAGGTTTGATGTCCTCTAAGTCTGTGATGCATGAGGCACAGGTAGAGAAGTCTGGGAAGTAGTTGACTGGGTGTCCTGGTGGTCAGGAGAGAATCTTAGCCAGAGAGAGCAGTCCAACCAACGTCCACCAGCATCCTGGGATGAAGATGCAGACCAAAGAAAAGGAGAGGAGGCTCAAAGCAGAAGTGAACTCAGAGCAGAAGGAGAATCCTAGCAGAACATTTTCCCCTGGTTAGTTGTGTCGCTACGGAAGCCCCTCTTCTAGGGCTTTCTAAGATCAGGTATCTGCTTGCTCTTCAGGCCCAATGCTGATCATGGTTCCCTGGCACACTGCCTGGAGGAGTGCAACGCATGCCTTTTGGGTTTCCTTAGTTCTCCCACACTTTGGGAAATAGTGTCTTGGTGAAAATCTCCTTACTTACAAGAATAGTTAAAAGGATGGATGGATGGATGGATGGATGGATGGATGGATGGGTAGGTGGATGGATGGGTGGATAAATGGATGGATGGATGGGTAGTATGGACAGATGAGTGGGTGGATAGATGGATGGATGGGTGGATGGATGGATGAATGGGTGGATGGATGGGTGGGTAGGTAGATGGATGGATGGGTAGGTAGATGGACAAATGGATAGATGGACGGATAAATGGATCAACAGATGGACAGATGGATGGATGGATGGATGGATGGATGGATGGATGGATGGATGCTATGTTCCCCGAGCATGCAGTGAGCTGCCTTCCTAGAAGTGACAGGGGTACTCCCTGGACAGGGACCCTGGCAGGTTGTATGCAGTGTCATGGAAAGCACGCAGGGCTTAGTCATCCCCATTCCTTCTGAGTTCTTGAGAAAGAAGCACAGCCTGTCTGACTTGGCCAGGAACAAGCCCAGGCTCCTCCCAGTCTTGTTGTCCCACAGAAGGGGCAGTGTCTGTCCACCTGCTATTCGGCCACAGTTTCCTAGCTGACTGGTGTTCACTAAAGGACAGTGAGGTGCCTTGCCACTGTACCTGTCTGTGTCCATAGCGTGACAAAATATAGGAGCCTTGTTTCTTGTACTTAACCGTCACCAACCTCCCTCTCTCACACCTGCCCTGGGCTCAGCCAAGCTGAAGGCAACTCTTGTGTGAGATGGTACCTGTCCTATTTCTGGAGGCTCCACAAGGAGCCTGTTTGCTCCTGCCCAACCTCCCCGCGCCTTCGACACCAAGGCCTGTCACTCCAGGGTGGGTCACCCCAGCCATGGGGCCAGCTAGAGCAGCCTCAGCAGCAGAAAGGAGAGCTATGTGTAGCTGGCCACAAAGCTGACACTTGCAGAGCATAGGTGGAGATTTAAACACTGCTCTGCATGGCACTCCATCAGTTCAGCAGTCTCAGCAAGCAAGGCACAGCCACACACTTCTGGCGCTGATCTGAAACTGGGAACCTAGGAAGAATCTGTCTCCAGAGTAAGTCAGCATCTTCAGGTACAAATCTCTTTCTTGGCAAAAGGAGATGCGGGCATGAGCCAGGACAGCAGAAGCAATGAACACTGTCTCTCCGATATGTGCTAGGAGTGTTCTTTTACTTGATTCCTACAATGCTTATAGCTGTATTTCATGGATGATCACTCTAAAGCTGAGGACAACCAGTGCCTGCCTGGAGGGTCAGTGATGGAGCACAGAGCTATGGCTTAACCCAGGGCTCTGATGGCAGGACAGGCCCTCGTACACACTCCTGCTTCATCTCCTGACAATTCACAAGCCTCAGGGGCAGGTGCCACTATCTCCACCTATGATGCAGATGAGAAAATGAAGACTCATGCAAGATAGAATGAGCTGCCTGAGACTGCTCTGTAACTGCGAGGTCCAAGGATGGGTGAGATCCAACACAGACCTCTGACTGAGACCTGGTGTACCAGGCAGGAAAGAGGGGTTGGGGAATGGAAAGCTTTCCCTACCCTTGGGATTGTGTCACAGTTTCTGTGGCCTTTTCACACACACACACACACACACACACACACCACTCCTGGTCATAGGTACAATGATCCTTCCCTATACAGCCTCAGTACCCAGTAGTGACCACACAGGGTGAGGCTCTGGTTGGTGAGAAAGGTGGGCAAGGGTAGGGTAGGGTAGTGGACCCATGCACAGGCCAATGCACTGAATCGTGTGTGTCCTGGGGAAAAAGGGAGAGGGAGTGACACTCTAGCCCCCCGACAGCCTCCTTGCTCCACTCAGCCCTGGCCTGGTTCCTAAGCCAGCCAAGGCTTGGCTGGGCTTCTTGGAAAGTGAGTCGCTCACCAGTACATAGAAAACAAGGTGGCTTTCTTGTTTTCTGGACCCAAGAGGAGCTCGTCCTCATGTGATTCTGCCCTTGGTTTCTCAAGCAGTGGAAGTTCTAGAAACCTGCCTTTTGAGACTTCAAGACCTGTGCATCCCTGGGTCGTCGAAATAGTAATCACATGCTCAGGGCTGTCTGCACAGGTGCTGCTTACACAGACAGTGCCCCGTCCTTCTTCTCCCACCTTCAAGGACAAAAGCTGGTGCCTTGGTGTCCCTCATCCCACCACAAACTGACACTCCGAGGGGCCTGGTCCCAGGAGAATCACCACAGAGAGAACTAGAATAAACCCAGAGGCTTCTTGCACTGTCTCGCTGTGCACCATGGTATGTGACAGATAGGGGCAGAGGGATATGGATCCCACTTCTGATGCCACCAGAGTGCTGTGGCTTTCACCTGTCTGTGCCTCAGTTGCCTCGTTTTTTGGATAATGGTGATCGTCATGGACGTTGGGTCCTGACACGGCAAAGTCTCCGGACCACCTCACACCGGACCCAGTCCCACCCCCTGCTCCAAATGTGTGACCCTAGAGTCTCCCTCAGCCCCAGCCCTGTACAGGGTCAGCACCTGCAGCACCCTAGCTCCTGCCTCTGTCCACGTTGCTGATTCCAGTTTTCAGGAGTCTTCCCTCGAGCGAGTGGAGATTTCTAGGCCCCAATTCCAGAAGACCTGGCTGAACCCAGCTCAGCACAAAGGTCCTTTAGGGGGATCTCAGATGCCAGCTACAGCTATAAATAGTTATGATCTTTCGTTCCATCTGTAATTTTTCATAAGCTTCTCGTAAAGACAAAGGAAAATCTTGGAACAGGTGCTCCCAGCGTCCACAGAGCCCTCCGGGTTTCAAGTGTGAAGACACAGAGGAAGGGCACTGAGAACCTGTAATTCAGATCCACCCCCAGATGCAGCAAGACGAAGGCCAGAGGAGACTGCAAACTCAGGTCAAAGAGCACCAATAACTCTCCTCCATCCCAGTGGTGTCCTGGGTGACCTGGCAGCAGCGTGGATCCCAGTGTCTCCTCCAGAAGAGGGCACTGGACACGGCATCCAGGAGACTTTTCTTTCGCTTCCCTGGAGCCCAGAAACCAGGAGAACCCGTGACTTACGGACTATTTTATGAAGTCATGAGCCTGATTTGAGAAACACTAAGACCTCCAATATTGGCATAGTCAGAGAGCTCTGTACCAGGCAGGTGCCATGACCACACCCTGCCCCCCCCACACACACACATCCTGGGTCAGAATTTCCCAGGGCTGTTCCAAGCGCATCTGTTCCCGAGAAGGGCGGAGCCCGTGTGCAGCAGGAGCTGGAACCACCAAATCTAAAATTAGCCACAGGAAATGAATACCCACACCTACTAGGTGCCAAGTAGTGTTACTATGGCCAGCCTCACCTCAGCACAGGGCTAGGGAGTACTCTCTGCTCTTCCTTAGAGGAGGAAGTGAAGGAGGGTGTGCTTAGAGAGAGCGGGGCTTCCTGCGCCACACAGCTGTTTGCAGGCGAACTGGGCTGGAACCCCGGGCTTTGTGACTTCAGAGCCTTCCCTCTGCCCCTCGATACCCACCCTCCCGCGTGAGAGGTCCCCTGTGGGCTGGCACATTCCAAGGACATGGGATGGCAGAGATTCACACCTCCTCTGGGAGCTGGCACTGGGGACCCTCTGCTCCAACCCAGGGCTGCTGGAGGAGAAGGAGGCAGGACCCAAAGGGCAGTGCAAGCCCAGTGAGGGCTCCCAGGGAAGGACCAAGGAGTGCATCTCAGAGGAGATGCCTTTGAGCTGGCTCCTGAAGGACACCGTGGCACTCCGCCTGTCACCTGGCCATCCCTGGGTTTGCTTTGCATCCTGAGGTCCTAAGAATGGATGCTCAAGGTCTGCAGTGCACTCCTCAGCAATGCCTCCTTCCTCCTCCCCCAGGTGCTCAGCTCACTCCACTGACCTTGGCTCCAGTCACCTGCTGCTCAGAGTGCCCTTCGTGGCCAGGCCTTCCTGGGCACCCAGGAAGTGAGGGTTCTTCAGGCTGAGCTCAGGGAGAAGGGAGGGAGGTGGGTCCCACCCAGGCCGGGGGACAACGGAGTACACTCCAGAGCCACAATGAGTCACAGCGCACAGCCCCTGAGAAGTGGGAGTGACAAGACCACTTCCCTGGGAAGGCGGGGAGAGAGATAAGATAAGAGGAGAAAGTGCTTTGAGCTCCACAGAAGAAAGAAGCCACAAACAGACCCAAGGTGTTATTACCGCTTCATTAAGGGCTTCAATTACAGGGACCCACATCTGACTCCATGACGATCATTAACATGTCCTGCAGCCCACACAGGGTTGTATTTTTAATGTAATTTCATTTTTATTATTACCAGATAAGACCTGAAATTCTACCTAAATCATTCTGGCATTCCAGCGCTCCTCCCTGGGCTGGGTGGGGTCTTTTCCTTCCCACAGGACCATGACAAGGGCCGGCTGGGGAAAGAGGCTGTGTTGACCGCCCAGCTCCGTGATCCTCCACGCAGAGCTTTGGAACCAAGCCTCTGCTCTGATTCCATCATCCTTGTCACCCACGCCTCTTCTTCCCTCTTGCGTGCACCACTTCTGCCCTGCTAGAAGAACTGAGTGACCTGCTCTGGGGATGAGGCGTGGGGAAACACAGAATACGGAGATGAGGTCCGTGCTTTCAAACAGATAAGCATGGACTACTCAACGCCCATTCATTCCTTCCTAGCATTTTACCATGTGCTGAGGACACCGAGCAGCAAGATGAGCTGCACCTGTGGCTGTTCCCAGGAGGACACACCTGCAATGAGAGGTGATTCCCAACAATCACCGAAGTTCACAGCCCTGTGTGCTATGATACAGAAGTGCCCTGGAGCCTGGGGTTACTCAAAGATGGGAAAATCCTCAGTTCCCAGGAAAACCCAGGAGCTGGCCCGGGGGAACACAGGGAGGGAGAGTACCACAGGCAGAGAGGGCAGTGTGGGCGGAAGAAATGACATGCATAAGGCAGGAGAGGGCTCCAAGGTGCCAAGGAAGGGAGCCACGAGGAGAAATAGAGATGGGGGCTGAGCAGCGCCTCAGGGGTATCTTATAACACACTTCTTGTTCTGTGACTATAACAACAGGCAAGAGCCATTGTAACCCCGCAGCCCCACGTAACCCTCACCTCACACAGGTGGTACACAGGTGTGCCGTGCATTACCCCCTCTCCATAGAGGAGGACACTGGGCTCTGGGGGCCCAGATGCCCAAGAGGTGGGCCTGGAGGAGCCCTGGCTCTTAATGCCAAACACAGGGTTCGTTTTCAGGCAGATTCTAGGTAGATGAATGTGCAGTGGGTTCCTCCAGGTAATTGGGTGGAGAAACTGGGGGAGCAGCAGAGGCACTGAACACAGATCAGGGGGAGACAGGTACAGCTCCAGAGCAGAGAGCTGGTGGGAGCAGGCAGGGCTCCTCCAGGCTCCTGGAGTCAGCAAAAGATAGTTCTGACGGGCAGGACCCCTCCGGCTGCAGCACCGTCCCTTCCTCCAATATCGGGACAGTGACTCTCCACTGAGGAGTCTCCATCCTCCCACCCAGCTATGGTCTGTGTCTAGGTGTCCCCCCAGAGTCTCATGCACTTTTAAATGGGACTTTTGGGGAAGCAGCTGGATCTAGAGCTTGTGACTGATTCCTGATTCAGTGCTAGGATGGGGAGCGCTGGGATAAAGGATGGGTACTGGATCAGTACAGGACTGGACCTGCCCTAATGTCATAGACCGGATACAATGCAAGGGACAGAAGGAGGCTTGTCTCTTCTCCCCCTGCGTTCTTTTGCTGTCTTCTGCCACACAAACTGTTTCTTCTCTGAGATGCCCCTCTGCCAGGCCACCCTGCCTTGGAGCCAGCTGATTACAGACTAAAACATCTACAAACTATAAGCCAAATAAGCCTTTACTCCCTAAGTTTTAGAATCAAGTATTTTGTCTCGGCGATGGGAAAAGTACCCAGGATATACCCCAACAGGGTTGGAGGGGCCGACCCTCTCTCCTTTGCCATCCATCACCCCTCACACACCCTGGCCATTTGTGGGCACATATCCAGCCAATCAAAACCTTCCATCTACCTGTGGGCAAGTGACCAATGCATGGCCAATCAGAACTATCCACCCATCTCTGGACACATGACCAAAGTCTGGGTAATGAGAATCTTCCATCTATCTGAAGCCTACCTGACCCAATTCTGAAAATTCAGTCAAAACTTCTAGGAAAACATCCTTTTCTGCTGTGTGAGCTAAAATGCTGATGTAGGCCCACAGCTTCTGAGAGCACCTCCTGGAAAAACCAGCTGAGAATGAAGGTTATATGGAGAAATTAAAAGCTACCCTATCCCTGGACCTCACAGTTATAAGAACTGGTAAGCTCCCTTTCATGAACAAGCTTTCTAACATTTGCTACAGAAGCAATCCTGACTCGCCTGGGTCCAAATGTTCCCTTTGCTATGTGGGCTGTTAGAACCCAGCACAGGAGTGATTTTCTGAGGGCGCAGAGCACCACAGGTCCTCCTCCTGCAGAGCTCTGTCCACTGATGCCATGAGTCATCCTGGGCCACTAGAGTGAAAGACAAGAGCCCTGCTCTGAGCCAGGAGCTTGGACCACTCCTTGTCCAAACACGGTATCCCTCAAACTCCAGCCTGCTCAGTTTTTAATATAGACACAGTTGTGTACACATAATTGTTCACATTGGTAGATGCCTGTAATCCTAGCACTTGGGAAATAGAGACAGGAGGATTGCAAGTCCAAGGTCATCTTAAACTATATACCAAAACCCTGTCTCAAAATAAAATAAAATAATTAATGTTCATATTACTATCAAGTGGAAATACAGTGTCATTTGCCATAAAAATCAAGCAAGCAAAATACGTCTTGTGCGCACATGATCAAGGCCAGATTCCTTTGCCTCAAGCTTGTCCTTCTGCCGTTAAGAAGAAGCAATTAGAGTGCTAAAGATATACCAGTACCAAAGAATTGGGGCCTCACCCAAGATACTCTGGGAGAACAGGACAGCACGCCTGCCACCACTGTGGGGAGCACTGGGTACTCCAAGCTCCCAGTGCACCCCCTGGGTCCTCCAGAGCCAGTGAGGAGCAGTCTTAGGGAAGCACCATTAAACTGTGACTGGAACACATGGCCTCCTTCTCTTCAGCAGGCACTGGTTGCTCTGCGCTCTGTGCTCTGTGCTCGGGTCACACCTTCCCTGAGCTCTTTCCGGGGCTGTCTCCAGCCTCCCTCAACTCCTGTGCGTTTCTCCTGGGCGCCCTCCTTCAACAAATGAGTCACACAGGGAGCCCCGCTCAGATGCTGTTTCCAAAGGGAAAGCAGAGTCCACACACAAGGGGCTTCGAGCAGAGGGATGACAGGGCAGGTAGGAGAGGTGAGAGGAAGCCTGGGTGTGTGGGCACCTCTGCACCCAGGCCTCGGCCCTCACAGACACTGGGGGAACTATTGTTCTCTTCGGAAATGAAGAAACTAAAGCTGAGAGCAGTTGATAATTTGCCCAACGTAACAAACGCCAGCGTCAGGCTTCAAACCCAGACCTGTCTGACTTGAGGCAGAGTTCTTGGCTACCACACTCTCATGCCTGTCTGGAACGTCATGTATGGAAAGATGGCACAATGCTAGCAGAGGTGTCAGTGTGGGCCTCAACTGGGTCCCAGCCCTGCCTCTGCTCCTAAACACTGTGACAACTGTGGAGTTACTTAACTTCTCTGAAGACCTCAGTGGAGCGATCCCTGACCAGTAGAAAACCTTCGTGATCCACTCCACTTTCCAAAGTCCCCACTCTGGACACTGGAGGCTTCTGGGGGGCATTTTAGATCCAAACCTCAACAGGCAAATTTTATTTTCACTTCTGTTTCCCCAGTGATCACATTCACGGAGAGCACAGAGGGCATGGTTTCCTGTGTGCACACTGGGGCCAGCATAGGCAGGCAGAAAATAAAACTGAAGTGATGAAACAGTGATTTCTGTCATTCCAGCCTCCCAGTGCTCCCTTCAAACGTGGGGAACTCTACTCCTGTAGGAGCAGACATCTCTGCAAGCACTCTCACCTCACACCATTGCAGTGCTCCCGGAAGGGCGAGTGAGACCAAAAAACCCTGCATAGCTGGCTAAAGAGAACAGAACCCAGGCGAGGAAAGCAGAGAGGAAAAGAATGTCTTCCCGGGGATCAGGTAAGATCCCTGACATCCACACAGACTCACGTTTGTGAAGCGCTATCACTCCCAGTGGTCCCCGGGTCTGCGTCTCCTGCACCGTGACCTCTGTCAATGGGAGGCCAACCTGACCCGCCGCTTAGGCCAAGTCCTGGCCATGGATTCAAGCCTCCTTCTCCTTCACTTCCCTCCCAGAGGTCCCTGTGCTGAACATTGCCCCCGCACTTGCGGCTTACACCGATTGCGCCCGAATTCAGTCAGCAGCATCTCTTGCTTAGACTACTTCACATGAAGTCCCAAATCCTTGCTGCGGCTCAGAGGCCACACCCTACTCCCCGTCTTCCCACCCTTCTGTCCCCTTGTTCTCCCCTCCTGCCCCACCCTGGATTCCCACACTCCTGCTGCACAGGACTTCAAGGCTCCTTTCCGCACTTGGAAATCCACGCAGGGAACACTTCTTGCTGTCCCCACCACCCTGTGATGCATTTTCACTCTGACTCCCCTGCACCGTAGGGTTCCCCTGCCTTTGGGCCCCGCCTGCCCCACACTGTACGGCTCCCAGTCCTGCTCCTGCTAATGCTTTTCCATCTTGCAGTATTTGTTCATTACCTGGCCTCTGCCTGGCACAGAGCAGCGGCTATGAAACGCGTGAATGGATGAGTAAACAGGAGAGAGAAGAGCAGTGCGGGCAGGTACAGGTCCTGCGCGGCACCTTTGCCTCCCTGCTGCCCTTTCCTGGGCCGACGTCCACTCTCCTTATGCACAGGGCTCCCTTGTCCCACTTGCCCCCAGAAGGCCTCCCTGGCATGTGAACACAAGGTGGCATTCCTCTTTGGGGAGCAGGAGACAGACGTGCTGCCAAAGGCACCTCACATTGCTCCAGGAACCCCCTGCACCCTGTGCTCACACTTACCCTGCATGTATAAATCTTGCCTCCCCTGCTGGAAGACAGCAAGCCAAGGTCGGAACTGTTACACATGGCAGTGGGTGCCAGAGAGGGTAGAGGGGGCCACATGCTTGAACGTGAGCTCAGTGACCAGAGC